TTGAGACATAGGTTATACTAATCTTATGGTCCATAGAATGTAATTAGGAGTAGTATTTAGTAGTCTACTAATAAGGTTTTGCTGATGAATGTATGCAGGACCTGGTTGCTCATCAATTGGAGCTGGAGCACTTTTGGAAGTTGGTCCTTACAAAGTTAAAAGTGATGGGAAAACATTGTACAAGAACGACTATGCTTGGAACAAAGGTAAGCACCTATGGAATACTTAAGGTTGGAACATAGTCACATAGAGCAGTTAAAAACTGAGAATATATATGGCTAAGGTTTCCAGCATTGATTTGAAATGGCAGTGGCAAATGTGATATTCCTGGACTCACCTGCCGGTGTGGGATTTTCCTATTCCAACACAACTAATGACTATAATACCACCGGGGACAGAAGAACAGCCACAGATTCACACATCTTCCTTGTAAATTGGCTTGAAAGATTCCCACATTACAAGACTCGGGATTTCTATATAGTGGGAGAGAGCTATGGTGGTCATTTTGCGCCTGAGCTTGCTTACACCATTTTAGCCCATAACAAGCATTCCCGGAAACAATTCATCAACCTCAAAGGCATTATTGTGAGTCTTATACCCTTTTTAACCCTCCCTCAAAGCGAAAACAAGTCTTGTTTCTTGAACAAGAATACTCAAGTAACACGGCTCTTATCAGGGTGATGGGGGTATGATTTTTTTCTGCATCAATGTATACACTCTCACTAAAACTTGGTAAAAATAAAAAAAAATAAAAAAATAAAGAAATTGATTAATTTTCTTGATTTCAAATTTAAAATTGATATTCTGATTTTACCCTCTTTTATTATGCCTCTTAAATAATTACATTTAGTAAATTACCATGAGCTCACTCTTTATCAAGGGAAAACAAAAACATAAAATAAAAATGTTGCATTGGAAAAAGATTATGCCTTGATAAAGGATCATTGACCCCTTTTAGAAGGTGTTTTACACTCAGTTATATTGATTAATCCTAATGGATCATTGCGGGCAGGTTGGAAATGGTTTCCTGGATCTTGATTTAACATTGAAAGGAAACATGGACTATTTATGGTCACATGCATTGAGCTCAGATGAATCTCATGAAGCAATTAGCAAGTATTGTGACTTTGCTCATAGCAACTATTCTCTCATCTGCAACTTGTATGTATTGAAAGCACAGGTGGAGGGCGGGCTTGTTCCTATAAATTACATTTACGAGTCTTCTTACTGCAACCCCAATGCAACAAAACCCAAGTCTCCTAGTTCGGTGAGAATTAATTCTACAGGCAATATACTATATGTGTGCATATATGATTGTATCAAACTGACACTAAAATATGTGATATTTGAAACCATGATGAAGGGATATGATAAATGCTCGAGCTTATATGTGGTGGCTTACCTCAACAGGAAGAATGTGAAAAGTTCTTTTCATGCTGTCGATACCATTTGGAGAGATTGCAGGTACTCCCCTAGGGACCATATGCATTGTTACTCAAACAAGATATTTAAATATACAAAACTACTTGGATCGTACCCCCTCCATAAAAAAAAAAGAGTTCAGTGAAGATACAATATTTTAGTTCTGTGAAAGTATAACTTTGCAAATGTCATTGAGTCATGTAAATGTAGTCGGTACTATAAATAGATTTGAATGATTGCAAAAAAGATATCATTCAGTCCTATTTATAGTTCAATTTTTTAGTGTAGTACTGAGAGGTTGTTTTTTAAAGTGGTACTTGTTTTGGGACTAAATGGTTTTGAAAGCTCTTTACTGGGAGCAGAGTACTGGTTTTACTCTGCTCAACCAAAATGAGCGACTAGCTGTCATTGTGCTGAGTGGATCCATTGTGGGTCAACCAACGGCGAGAGATTCTGAGCTGACACTCATTTTGGGCGAATTAAAATATATAAGAAAGAAAAAGATGTACCACAAAGTTTGACCAAACACCAATGATAGAAATACTTGAAAAATGTGAGCAGCAATGAAGTTGGGCTGGCGAACTGGAGGGATGCACCTAGAACAGTTATCCCCATACTCAAATAGCTCATTGCAGAGAACATCAACATATGGCTTTATAGGTAAGTTCTCAAAGCAATTCTTATGTCTTCTTGATCATTCAGTTCATCAAACATCTAAACCTTAACTTGGAGTGGTGACATTACAAATAATACCTACAAATAACAACTAGTAATAATTGGAGTTTCGTTCTAATCTAAAGGGATGAGTGTCTCAGATCTTAAATATGAATTTGATATTTTATACCTTGTTGTGAACAAACACAACAACTACAACAAATGCAGTGGGGATGCAGATGAAATAGTATCAGTAACAGCAACAAGGCTTGTAATAGATAGTATGAAACTTCCTGTGAAGACTGCCTGGCGTCCTTGGTTGTCTAACAGTGGCCAGGTACATAGAAATGTTTGGCATTCTTTCTATCATTTTGACAAGAAACGATGCTCACTTCAAATTTGAACTTAATTTGAAGGAGGTTGGCGGGTACGTGGAAGAGTACAAGGGGTTGACACTTGTCACAATACGAGTAGCCGGGCATGCACCCCCTAGCTACCAACCAGAGCGAGCACTCACTATGATTACATCTTTTCTTCAAGGGAAACTTCCCCCCTCGGCTTAACTAGCTAGAACAAGATTACACTCCATCCAAACAGTGCTATTATATTCTTATTACTGTGTGCAATGAAATTACATAATAATGTGATTCTCCAATCATCTCAATAAACGATTGAATTTTGTTCAAAAACATGGGAGCCATCTCCTCATCTCCTTGATTCAGCAATAATGAGAGAATATTAATGAAGTACAGTTACCAAGAGACAGAGAGTATAACATTCAAATATGTCTTAAAAGGGAATGAAGAAGGCATCGAGTACTATGATAGAGATGCACAAACAAGCTTCAAATATTTTTCTTAAGCCATGTCTATAACTCAAATTATACTAGTGGGCATTAATAAATAAACGTTAAAGCCTTTCATGGTTCATATTCTGGATTGGGTTAATCCATGTTGTAATCAGATCGATTAAGTTCGAGGTACAAAAGTAGAAGAACTCAACGTGATTTGAAAGAAAATCAAGAATTCAAATCAAGTTGAGTTCTGAAGTCTATTTTATTCACAAAATAAATAAATAAATAAATAAATAAATAAATAAATAAATTGTGGATGTTTTTTATAAGAAAATTATCTAACTAGGAGTAAAAGGTACCCAAAAATCACATATAGTACTACATTGTATTAAATTTCCTAGTATGATTAATTATTTGTGTTTGGATAAATATACCCCGATAGCTTTTTGGACTAAAATAAATATTTAATAAAATTAATAAAAATAAAAAATTAGAAAAAAAAATTATAAATTAAAAAAATACTCCTTCCGTCCCTGAAAATTCTCCTCACTTACCTTTTTGGGACGTCCCAAAATATTCTTCTCATTTGCCTTTTTGAAAAGGTTTGTGTGGCTACCATTAATTTACATTTTTCTTACTCAACCACAATCATACATTTCTACTTTATTTCCACTTTCTTAAACTCCGATCCAAGTCAAATTGAGAAGTATTTTGCAGGACGGAGGGAGTAAAAAATTAGAATAAAAATTAAAAATTAAAAAAACACTAAAAAAATACACAGCCGCCTCTGCCACCCTAGCATCACCCGCTTCAATCACCGAAAAAATGCCAACTTGCATTAGTAATGCCATACTGATGCCGGCTTCAATGAAAATTTTGGTATTATCAAAGAGTAATAATGTCATTTTCGTGGCATTTTCAGAAAAAGTGACATTTTTTCACCGATCGGAAGTGGTGGTGCTGGAAGGCGGTAGAGGCGGTGGGAAAGGCATCCACATTTTTATGGACTTTTAATATTTTTATTAATTTTTTATTTATTTTATATTATTTTTTACAATTTTTATTACGGAGTATTTTTTTTACGATTTTATTATGAATTAAAACATTTTATTATGAATTAATACTCTTAGGAGTATTTAGAGTAGAAATTAATGTTCAATCCTATTTGTGAATGATTTAGGCTTTAGTCCTATTTGTGAAATTAAGTTTCCATTTAATCCTGTTTAGGTCAATTATTATTATTTTATATAAACTTATACCTCATTTTCAAGCCCATATGACCTTGTTACTCCCTCACAAACTTAATTTAACGCATATTACATCCAAATCCTCCTTTGGAAATGTTAGAACCCTAGAAAATGAAGTTGAGAAGAACAAACCATACAAACACTAGATGATACCATTGGTTTAATATATGACTTGGTCAAATTGGTAAGCTTTTGTATTAGAGCATCTCCAATGGTAAAATGTGCACGATGCACACGTGGCATGAGAAACAGCCACATTAATATTAATAAATAAATTCTTTCTTTCCTTATTTGAATTCTCCTTATTTGAATGATTTTATACAGTTTTTGATAAGTTTTTCTCTACAATGTCAAGGAGACCGTCTAGATGTTGACATTGCAGGGAAAAACTTACCAAAATTGAATGAAATCATTCAAATAAGGAGATAGATAATTTATTTGCTAATATTTATGTGACCATCACTCATGCCACATGTGCACCGTGCACATTATAGCATTGGAGATGCTCTTAGTATCTTTGCCAATGGACTGGATCACTGGAATATAAATAAGCAAGACTTTGAAGATTGACCCTTCCAAAAAGGTGTTTTTTCCTTTGAAAAGTTTGCTTATCCTTTCTTCCCGATAAGTTATTGATTCTTATTCTAGAAGTTGATCATGTTATAATGATGATTAATTTAAAATTTTAAATGTTGGATTACACGTGCATATAGATTTGTTGTTGATTGGTCTTTAAATACTTGTTACCCACAAGAATGAAAACCCCCAGAAGAAACACTATTAAGCGAAATAATGGCAACATGTACATGTATCTGAACAAAATTCATTAAATGTCAAATTCATTTTCTTTGCATCACGCAAATAGTCAAATACAACAGAGATTCCGCCGATCTTTATGATTCCTCTTCTCCACATGAATGCATTAAAATGAAGAGAAAGTATATAATAATTTAGAGCACTTGGGTCGACAACCAGCTACTTACTTAGGAATGGAATCACTGTGAGAAGTGAGCCAATCTTTTACTGCGTTAAGGTCGGGTAGCACAGTCTCTCCAGATTTCCTCCAATTTTCAGCATCAGATGTCTTGAACCGGTCGAGCAATATCGTATTCATCCCCACACTCCTTGCAGGAATAATATCTTTCCTGATGCTGTCTCCTATGTGAAGAACTTCTTCTGGAGCAACATTTCCAGCTCTCTCTAATGCAATTTTATATATCTTTGGGTCTGGTTTTTCTACACCTTCTAGGCCAGAGAATACTCCAAAATCCCACTCAGATCCCTTATTCATGGCACATAAGAAGAACCTCATTACTCTCCACATCCCAAGTAAAAAACTTGTTTGTATTTGTTAAATTCGGTCAAACTCGACGTCAAAGGATCCTCAGGAACTAATCTTTACCTCAAAATTATTTTCCATCATTTGCAATGGAGCCAAAGATTCATTATTTTTGGCTTGAGAATATGATGGAATAAAGCAAAATGGCTCACTAAACTGTCTGCGCTTCTTTGTTATGAAGCAGCAGTCAGTCCATGCAATTTTGGTTGCGATTTTCACTATGGGTCATCCGGAAACAGCCTCTCTGTGCTTTAGTACAGGGGTAAGACTGCGTACATCTGACCCCCCCTTACCCCACCGTAGGTGGGAGCCTTTGCGGCACTGGGGTAAATGAAAATGAAAATGATATGAAATTCACACCCCAAGCCAGGCAAGCCCGGCCTGGACAAGGTGGACTAGATAAATGTAAGCATGGACACATGGACCTCTAAATGATTTTCCCAAATCAAGTAGTGGGTTGGCACCCAACAAACCACGATTAGACTAGTATTTGATACTATATTAAATCAGGTCTAACTCAATTACTCAACCAAAATGGATACTTCAGATGTGTGAGGTTTTACATATACCACACACTTTTATAAAAGTACCAATACACAAATATTGACAGCTATTGTAGGATGATTTCATAATCGGTAGTATATTGATTCCATATCACAAAAGGAACTCTATTTCCAGTGGAGTTTAAAATATATTTTGCTTCTAATCATATTAGGACCTTATACGGCATACCAAAAGTTGTTGTAACATGTTTACCTGATTCAAGCCTAGGGCTGGAAGGATTACGTCCCGATACCGATATTCAGCATTGCTAACAAGCCCAACTGTAACACCAGTAGAACGAAGCCACCTAAGGAATGGTTGAGAATCCGGGAATATAGTGTAAGGTGCAGCAGAACCAAAGGTTGCATATATGCGTTTAAAGATCTTTTCAAATGTCTCCTCATCATAATCATATCCTGCCTGTCATCAATAAATTTTTAAGCCAGAGATCCACAAGAGCAGATAATTTGAGAAACAGGACAGAGTTTCACAGCCAGTTTGGTAATATCTAAAATTGCTGGAGTGGCCTTAAATCTATTGAATTTTCTAAAGTTGTGGTTGAAAGAGCCGAATCTGTCAAATTTTCTAAAAGTTATTATTTATAAGGATATTTGTTATACAAATTAAAGGAATCAGTCTTTGGAAATATAGGTAGGCATGTTATTTTCTCTAACTACAACCATTTTAGTTTTAAAAAGTATCTCATGCACTACTTTCAGCAAAATAAGTTATTGTATGGTGATAAAGTTGACAAAAAGGGCAGCCCGGTGCACATTGGAGTCCCCGCAAGGCAAGGGTCCAGTGAAAAAATCATAAGCAGAAATAAAGTTCTATCATATTGGCTCTGAATGAATCATTCAATATCTTGTTTACTTGTGCTTATGTTTATATGGATTTTATATCTACCTTCACAAATGAATCTCGAACACAAGTCTTCCACCAGAGAATGTTAGGCATCTTTTCTGCAAACCCAAAGCAGGGATGTTTTCTAGCCATATCAGTATATCCATGTTTAAAGCCCTCATGCACTCTTTTATAGTCAGGACACGGAAGTCCAACGGCTTTCGCTGCCATGCAATAGTAGTCGCCTAGTTCTCCCTTGTAAGCTATCAGTGTGCCAGTGACATCAAGTGTGATGCATCGGAATTTTGTTAGAACAGACATGATGTTATGCAACTTGATTTTCCCAATATCCAATTTCTGAACTATACTTGAGACTCCACAAAATGTTGAGTTAAACCAATTTACCAAAGATTGGGATCACCATCCGAACAGCTGTCCAAATATTATATACAACACTGTTAATGATGAATATCAACTGGGATTTTTATGCTCAATTATCACTTCGTATTTTTATGCTCTAATACAATTATATAAATACAAAGACTAGGTGTGTCATCCTAATGATCGATAGGAGAAGTAGTTCAATATCTTATATATTTACTTATGTTTTTATGAAAATGTGATGTGGATATCTTAAGAACAGTAAACATTGATGTTGTCATGATTCATGAAACTATTGTACCAGTGAATGCACAGGTTATTATTCCACTCTTTGCTTGTACTTCCCAAATTATTTAAAATCAAAGTAACTTTAATAAATAAAACTTAAGTTAATTCAATGAAGTACATCATAAAACATGTACTCGTTGTTAGTCAAATGATAAATGTATACAACAATGACATTTTTATGCCCACACAATTTAGTACTGCGAGTTATTTATTTATTATAAATATGATAGTTATCATAAATAGTTATTCTATCAATAGCATCTAAATATTTATTTCTTACTCATGTTTGATTATAAAAACATCCGTTGACTTAATTTTCTAAAATATACTACTGCATATAACATTTCCAATCAGACGAATCCACGAATATGCAACAAGCAGATAATGTGAGCTTACTTTTGCAACATCAATTATCCTTGATGAAACGTATTGGGATAATTTCTAAATTAAATCAAATTAAACACATTTTAGAAAATAAAATCTAAAGCAACTCCATTCGTTGGCCCAAACAACAACAATATTTATAAGAACGAAAAATACACTCCTAACACTTGACCAGCCCAAAAGAGTAACCCAGTGTCTCAATCTATAATAAGCCCCGCTACAGCACATACACATTCCCAAATCTCAATCTCCCAAATCATTTCCACGCCTCCTGGCCATACTCCACCTCTACGTCAACCCTATGTGGGCTAGGTTCCATTGTTTTGGACTTTTACCCACGGCTAATTAAAGTTGGATAAACATCATTTTATTTTAAAGTCATACTCAAGCATTTTCAAACTGATAGATTAAAAATAGGCACATAGCTTTCTAGGCACATATGTAATATGTTATCTGGACTAAATTTTATCTAGACCTTGCTACCATTTAAAAAAAGAATAAAATAAAATAAAAATGAGAAATTCACACTATTAAAATACAATCAAGTTTGTCAAGAAAGAAGTATTGAGCCACATATTTACTTTTTTGGGGTCCACTGGCTACGCTTATCTGGCTAAAATAGCAAATTAAATCAAAGTTGATTGATTATATTGGTAACCATAAGTTGGTGTGTGAGTGTGTCAAAGCTGATTGATTTTGTATTTGGTTTTGTAGTTTTGCATTATTTTATTTGGTTTTTATATTCAAAGGAGTAGATTAACAATTATGGATTTAATATTTTCTATCACAAATAGGGATTAGCTTAGTGAATCCCATTGTAGGTGGTGAATTTGGGTAATACTGGATCACAACCATGGTTCTACTCAGGGATGCCTATCTCTATAAAAGAAAATATCGGAATATAATAAGCTGCTCGAAGGTGTAAAGAATTACAGTGATAATAAAAATTAAACAAACTCTACTACCTATAGAACACAAATAGCTTTTTACAGGTGTTTATGTCATCTTAAATATTTTTACATATGTTACGTAAGAATGTTCCATTATTTAAATGTAGCCAAAGACTCACTATTTTTGGCTTGGGAATATGATGGAATAAAGCAAAATGGCTCACTAAACTGTCAGCACTTCTTTGTTATGAAGCAGCAGTCAGTCCATGCAATTTTCGACGCAATTTCCTCCATGGGTCATCCGAAAATAGCCTCTATGTGCTTTAGTACAGGGGTAAGACTGCATACATCCGACCCTCCTTATTGCACCGTAGGTGGGAGCCTTTGTGGGACTGTGGTAATGATGATGATGATGTTTCGTAAGAATGTTAACAATATTGCAGGACAATGACTATTTTGTTTTAGCAAATTTCATTCAATCGGTTTATTTGGATTTGTTAGATTTTTATCTCAAAATTTAAACGGTATGGGATTTATAATGGGAAAGTTCTTGGTGGCAAAAAAATCAACCACATAGCCACCACATCAAGTGCTCACACTACTGCAAGCACCACATTGTCCTATTTTTCATTGTCTTACTAGTGAAGTTATAGCCTTTTAATTCTGCTAGGTTTTTTAGGATTACTCTGCTAAGAAATCATTATAAAACAAATAGTCATTGATTGAAACCTTAGGGATCTAACTTCAGTCCCTGAAAATGCTAGGCCGGCTAGGAATGGGTAAAAAGATTGCTAAGGAAAGTTCTTCTCTTACGTTTAATTTTATTTTGAGAAAACCTATAGCAAGCCTTCACAGTTTGATAAGAACATGAGATCATAGAAAATTTTATCATCATCATCATTACCTCGGTGCCGCAAAGGCTCCCACCGGTAGGGTAAGGGGGTCGGATGTAAGCATTCTTACCTCATAATAATTAATCTACTCCTTTGGATACAAAAAAAAAACAAATAATAATGCAAAACTACAAAACCAAATACGAAATCAACCAGCTTTTGCACACCAACTTATGTACATTTCAATTGAAAGTAATTTCCCCTAATTGTATGAAATTCGTTATAAAAGCAAAGCTAAATTTCATTGGATCAGATGGAGTGATATCTGTCTGCCTACTTCTGAAGGTGGTATAGGAATTCGAGCACTTAGAGATATTGAATTAGCATACTCCCTGAAGCTATGGTGGAAATGGAGGTGTAATAAATCTAATTGGGCTAAATTCTGTCATTCTAGATACCCGAGGGGAAATGACATGGTTCCTAAGGCTACGGACTCAACTGTTTGGAAAAGAATTTGTAAGATTCACCCGATAGTGACCACATTCTGTTCTCAAGATCAGGCTGGAGAGTTTTATTGGTTACCTGAGCAGAAAGGGGTCTTCACTCTATCATCTGCCTTTCATATTGTTAGAAGAAGAAAGAATGATATCTTCTCATTCTCTCATGCCTGGAACAAATACCAAGATAGCAAGATACAATTATTTCAATGGAAAATGCTGAATAGAATCTTGCCATTTCCAGATAATTTGAGCAGATTTAAAATTACTATCTTTCCTACTATATGTCCCTTTTGCAAAAATGAATCTGATAGGATGGACCATGTTCTGTTTATGTGTTCCTACAGTATGCAAATTTGGAATCACTTTTTGGGTATTTTTGAGATACCTCGGTCTACAGGTACTACAACTAGGCAGTTTTTTATCTCCTGGTGGTTGGAGGCAGGATCTAAAACGATAATGGACATTTACAAGCATAACATCCCAGGTATTATAGCATGGCACATTTGGAAGGTTTATTGTAATATTAATTGGGGTGAATCCAATAATATCCCAGATTACAGACTGATTATACAGCAAATCAGGGTTTTCAGCCAGGATTGGTCTGAGACGAATCTATCAAAGCTCAAGATTGGTTTTCCTGAACCGATTCTATATGAAGAGCAGCTTTTGCTTAAAACATTCAAGGTAGCCAAACCGAATATTCAGATTCTAAGATGGAAGATACCCGAGCTAGACTTCAAACTCAATGTGGACGCTTCTTTTGCTGATGGAAGGGCGGCAGGAGGAGCGGTGATGCGATCCAGGTCAGGGGAGTTCATTTTTGCTCTTCATTTCTCTATACCAGCAACGTCGGTCCTGGAGGCGGAGATAGTGGCAATTTACAGATCGGTATCCTGGGCAATTGATAATGGTTATCGAGCCTTTGAGGTGGAGTCCGACTCGTTTCAGGCGATAGAAGTTATTGGGGAGACATCTCAGGTAGGAAGATGGAGAAAGTTAGTGTTGGAGTTAAGAAGGTGTATGGTCGAAGATGAGATAAGGTTCGGACATAATTGGCCAGCTCATTTTATGTCTAAACATTATTCAGATGACTTTCTTATTATTGATTCTATCAGACAGATTCCGTGCTATATTAGTGCTATATTAGACGCTATTTGATTGCTGATCAGTTAGGTCTTTCTTAGCTTTGGGTCAGGTCTAGTCCCCCAAAGTTTTTTTTCCTTATGTTTTTCTGCTTTTGTGTACGTTGGGAAGGAATGCCTTTCCGGGAGAGGTTTTGGTCTAATCCCCCTCTTCATTTGTATTTTTTTATCATTAATAAAATATGGTAAATGTTTCCCGGCATTTACCCCACCGATTTTGGTGGTTTGCCTTCCGGGTTAAAAAAAAAAGTATGAAATTCGTTATAAAGGTAAATTAAATAATCTTGGTGAAGTAGAATTTCAAAAACATGTACAGTTTTTTTTTTAAAATACGTGGTAGTTAATTAAGAAATGAATGTTTCTTACAGAAACTGAATAAGAGTTGCATACATGAAAGTAGAATCTCAAATTAGGTATGGGAGTACAAATTTGAATAAAAAACATTTAATGGGCTAAGGAAATCCTAACAAAAAAAAACGAACAGATTTGAAGAAAAGAATAAAAGGAACCAAAATAAGAGATTGATTGAAAGAATTAAACAGAGAGGAGAGAAACTTACCATCCTGGCGCTGATAACTGAAATCAAAGATATCGAACGGGTGATTGAAAATACAATGAAGTTATAGTAGACCATGAAAAGTAAGGTGCAGAGTTAAATAAGTTAAAAAGGCGAGGACACGCATGTAAACAAGAAGGAAACAATGGATGAACGCCAGCGGATTTGTATAAAGCAGTAAAGTAGAACTGAAAATGTTAGCCAACTTGATTTCACTGCTTTGGATTTCCACACCCAGACCAAACTTTCAATTTTTTCAAACATTTAATGACTTTGATGATACATTAACCGGTTAATGTCACTCATTATTATTATTCTGTCTTTATTATTATTATTATTATTATTATTATCATTATTATTATTATTATTATTATTACGGAGTATTATTATTATTATTATTATTAGGACATCAGGACAGGCAGGAGTTTTCAAGTCCGGTCAGGCCGGACCACTCCCCTGTCCGGAAATTCCGGACAAGAAGAGCTCTCTCAGAACAAGTATGTATATTTAAACTAGCGTTTTCACGCGCAATGCGCGAGAGTTAATGCCCAACAATACAATTTAAACATTAATAATGCTTAATAGTAATTTATACTAGAACAACAACAATCCACTCTTAAATCTCAAGTTTAACAAAACTTGAAGTATGCATGTGTCACCAATCAAAATAACTTGATATTCTAATAAACTATTAACGGTGTATGTAATTGTTATAGTCACTAAATATAATAAACATCTTCCATTGACATTGGTCTTTAAGCTAATTAATTAAGATTGTTGATGAATCCATATTTACCATAAGTTTATAGGAAAATAGCTAAATTGATCATAAAAAAGAAAACATAAGGAAGGTGAAGCTTCATTTAATAGAAGTTAGAACTTGTACATGTCGCTTAGCTTCTTGTAAATTTTCTTTTAATAATTTTATGTGACCATTTTGTTTAGCATATTAGTATTATCAATAGAGATTTTACCAAACACTACTTCACTAAGTACGCACAAAGAATTGAAATTATTTTAATTGCAAAAGATGACAAATTTAGGTTTTTGATTTTTTTGGAGTTTCACTTTTTATGATATATGAATACTTTTTTTGTACTTTGGTAGATTTTTTGTGTGATTTTGTCAATGAACATGTTCACTCACTATTTGAAAATGAACTTGAGAGATATGTAGTAATAAAACATATTTCAACATAACCTCTTCATAATTCAGTAGAGACAAAGACTCAACGACTACCGTTCATTTTGGATCTTACTAAATAAATCTTTAATCTCTAAATTAATAGGAAGAGTGTTTTTTGAAATAAATACAATTCCTATACGAGTTAGAGACCACAAATTTTATTAGTTTAGACATATCAAGCACAACTTTAAGAAATTAATCACTTTAAAAAATCTAAATCATTTAAAGTTTACTCTTTATTTATAATCAAGAAAAAAGTACTCTTTATTTTAATGTGAAAAAGAATTTATAAATGTTGCTTTTTCACAAATGCACACATTCCTGATTCCCATCCGTATATAGACCATAGTGTGGGCCTTTATTTTACTTAAGAGTATGAATGCATTTTGGAAAACCTATGTTGGCAGCCGTTAATCACTTCTAACGATGGGATGGGTATTTTGTCCATCAATATTAAGGTATCATAGTTTAATAATAATGTACAAGTCTTCTTGCACTCAAAATGTCGACATAATTCAAGGATACTAACAAACACTCACAATTATAATGTTTTTAGATTATGAACGTTTTTTATTGGGCTGACTTCCCGTGTCGGGTTAGATTTAAACAGGGTTAATTATACTAGACATAAATAAACTAGATCATATGAGATGAAAATGAACTTATTCCAGAAATATAATTAAACAACAATAAAATTGACATATTCCAGAAATTCAGCAGATGTCAACTTGTTTATTCGAATATATTATGAATTGATTAGATCAGATTTGTTTAAGTCTTTTTAATTGTGATCTAACTTAGTGGTTTTTTTGTTGGATATTACATGGATTTTCATATTATGAAATATACTAGTCAACCACCATCTAATTAAGACATACAGTCTTACCAAATTTTGTTATGGACTTATCATATGTATAATTTTATTTGGGCTTGTAAACGAATTGAATAGATTTGATTCAAATATTACTTGAATATATTTTGACTGTATAAGAATCTTATATTTGTTTATTAGTTTATTTATTTATTTATAAGGTATATAATACGTCATATAATGATTATAATATAACTTAATGGTAATAATAATAATAGCACTAATACTAGTGATACTAATGATGATGACAATAGTTAATTTAACAATAGTTTAGCATTAATGCACTACAATGATTAGATATTTTACAATTTTATCTTCTGATTGCTTTTTGATTAATCACCATTTTAAAGTAGCTTATTTGAACATCATATTTCTCCATTAACTTAGTTAAATTGATTTTAATATTGAACAGGTGATTTGTAGATACATTCTTATCTATATGAAATACACATTATAAAAATAGGCAAAAAAAAAAATACAAACAACACATTATGTTTTCAATTGATTTGATAAATGGGACATTTAATTCTTTTCAAAATCGAATATTTAATACAAAATAGATTTGTTTAAATATAACAATCAAAGCGAATACGGATAGAAAAATGATCCGATTATTATACAGATATGAAAACGGATGGGTATGAACACAAATAAAAATGTTAATTGTTGGGTTAATAGGCCCGACAGAGGAACGACCCATTATCCCTTAGCAAGAGAACCACCAAGGCCCAGTCTGGGAGCGGCCCAATGAGGAAGCCTTGCAGGACGCTTGTCCCATCGTCAAAGATGCTCGGCTTGTATGCCCTTGTCCAAATGGAATCAGGGGACGAACCAAAAGCATCAGGGAGGACATTTGCATGGCCCGAGCAGCGGGCCCGGCCTTAAGCTTACTTTGGCCCAAGCCAAGAGATATGGAGACGCTCGTCCTGAGCCCTTGACGGGAAAGCAAGATATTGACGGGAAACGCATTAAATACAGTTGATTTGGTGGTTGGGAAGCTAGCCACTCAAGAACCTCAATGTCACCACTATCACCTACCACTTGGTAGTATAAATAGTTGCATTTATTTCATAGTTAGGGGTTGACAACTTGTATTCTCTAGCAATAACAATTATCCCTTCTTAATTATTCTCTGGACGATCGGCCTAGTGGTTGATAGTAGAGTGTGCTGTAACAGACCCTTATTATTGAGTAATAAGATAAGGCTCACATACTAGATACTTTTGTTGCTTGCCATTTGTTGCTTGTGTCATATACTCTACTCAATCCACTCATATATTCCATACGAAAAAACCCAAAGGAAGATGTTGGGCCTTTGGAGTTGAAGGATTAAACCTCAACATTAAGTATTGCTTCAATTTGTTTACAACCTAAATTTTGTCTCTTTCAATTGGGTTTAGTTTAAATTGGACTGATATGAGTTTGACATGCTAATATGAGACTTTCACTATTGCTCAAGTATATATTCATTAATAAATACTGAGAAAAGGGCCAAATAGGCCCCTCTACTATTTTGAAAACGTCACTTAGACCCGCCTACTAAATAAAGTGTCAGTGTGCCACCCGTACTATTAAAATACGGTCATATAAGTGCAAATGACCGAACCCTGACTTAAACTAGCCGGTGTCTGCTTACGTGGAGGTCTTTGTTGTCAAAACCAGAACTTTTATCCACGTCACAGCTCACGTGTAGTTTTTCCCCTTATGCCGACCTTGTATCCACATAACACATTTCGTCGTTCATCCTCTCCAGTCTTCTCCGTGCAGAACAACGTAGGTAAAATTAGGGTTCTCAAAGAACATTTCATTCATCAGCGACTGTTCAAATACTTTGAAATCCCAAATGTCTTCTGCGTCGAACGGCTCAAGTAGTAAGGCGGCTCCGTCTCTCCAGTATGAACCACCCGTATATTGTTACTGTGACATGAAAGCTCCTTTGTGTGTGACAAAACGAAGTGGCCGGCAATTCTTTGGTTGCCAAAGATGGAAGGAAAGGGAAGCCTATTAACTTCGGGTTTGATTTTTTTCTTTGTGTAAACAAGATATGCATATGTTCTGTTCATACTTTTATTATATTAAATAAAAACGAGCAGGAAGAAATTGTTAATTTTTTTGATGAAATTAACAAAGAAAAGACATTATATTCACAGAGTTCGCTACATTGAAATTGCAATTTTGATGAAACACACATTGAAATTAACAAACAGAATTAGAAATTAGAATATTGACACATTATAAAACACACAATGTATAATTTTACATTATTCATATTCATATTTATTTATTGAATTTGTAGTGTAATTATATCCTGGAAATAAAAGTAATGTGTTTATATTATTTTCATTGTAAATAGATGCCAGGAGGAGGGTGTGGATTCTTTATGTGGAAAGAAGATAATAAAATCGAAGAAGTCGAGATTCCTACCCTATGCATGAAGCAGATGACAAAACGGATTTCTGAGTTGAGTGATGAAGTCATACATGTGCGGGCTAAAGTTGCTGAATTAAAAGTTGTTGGTGAAGCTGGAGTAGAGAAGATTAAGAAACTTTAATGTATGCTGATAGCAATTGTACTAGCAATGTGTGTGTTTGTTGTTGTACTGCAGGGGAGGAACTAAGAAAAAACATGAAGTGTTTTGAGTATTAGGTTTGTATTTTTAGTGTAGCATCACTTTTGTTGTATTAAGAAGTGTTTTTTATCATGTAATGACTGGTTCTAGATAGTTTTAAATGTAGTTGAATCTCTGGTTTGCAATTTCATCGAGTAACAACCTAGTTTATTATGAACACGGTAGTTTAACATATTTGATATGAATGTTTGTAACTTTATATTGTAATAATAGCCTGGCTTATTATGAATGTTGCAGCAGGTTTGTAGCTTTTGAGTGTGAATGTTGCAGCAGGTTTGTAACTTTTGAGTACGAATGTTGCTGCATGTTAACATATATTGCAGCAGGTTAATATATGAATGATTTGAGCTTGAATATTGCAGCAGCTATTTAGTACAAAAAGGGGGAATTTACTGTCCGAATACAAAATGGGCAGAGGTTATGCCCTTAGAACACAGCCCTTGAGGCCTTGAGCATTAAAAAAGGTTGTCAAGTGAATATGGTTTTTATGTTCTTCTTAAGGATGCTTTTTAGGAGTGCTACATCTTCTGAAAAAGCAAAATCTGTAAATTATGGAAGAGATTAGACAAAACTAACTATTCCATAAAGTGTTTGGTTTGGAACATGGAACCAGCAATATTTTGAAAGAAGTATGAAACATTTAGCTTTTCCATTATGAAAATTCAAAAGAAAATGCCAAGAAAATATCAAACTCATTGGACACTTCATTTCCATTATCTAACTGATCTAGCACTAATAATAGCTTTGCTTCTTTCATAAAAACCTATACACTTGCATTAATAGCATGAAATTTGATCAATCTTAACTTTCTTATATTTTAACCATTAGCAGCCTATGGGAAGACAAAAAAGGGCTCAAATTCAGACATGCATTTGTTTACTTGTTATTCTGCTACATGGTGAAAAATTATAGGTTATCAAGGTTTAGGCAAAAAATGACCAAGTTAGGCTCTGCATAGCAATTGATAAATGCATAATCCAGAATAACAGTTTAGGAAACATTGCCATTATCAAAGTGATAAGGTCTAATAATAAAGAAAACATGAATAACAGTTATCATCACCAAACTGTTATTAAATGCAAAGGTCAAACCATCCCATGGCCAGGAAAACGAATACATCAATCACGATAGAATCCAACATGAATAACAATTATCATCATCAAGCTGTTATCAAATGCAATACCTCATTGTGATTACCAAACTGATAAGATTTCATAATAATGCAACATGAATAACAGTTATGATCATCAAGCTGTTATGAAATGCAAAACCTCATTGTCATTACCAAACTGATAAGATTTCATAATAATGCAACATGAATAACAGTTATATCAAAAGCATGTCTTCCATAACACTGGACAAAAAAGTGCTTACAATGCACTTTCTAATGCCATATAAACTCCACATTGTCTATTTTCACCAAAACATATAAACAAAAAGTCATAATAGTCACTTCAGATTAAACTTAGTTTGACTTAACAAAAAGTACTAATACGCAAGGGTTACATCCCTTTTCAGTGTGTCATCTAAGAATTGCGGCTGTTTCCCTCTTCCATGGGCACTGCGCCTTCATTTACTCCTCCTTGGGCATTGTTCCTTCTTTTTTTGGCTTTTGGAGGTCTACGTGATGATGATGGTCTCATGGAACTTGTTTGTGAATCATGGGGTTTTTGGGGACACTTTGTCTTATTATGCCCTTCTTCCTTGCAATTTGAACATGTCATTATCCTCCCTTTCCTTGACATGGTACTCCTTGCCTTCACAGATGATCGAACCTCATTTGCTTCACGGGTTCTTTTCTTCTTAGGTCTTCCAGTCAATTTTTTTAGGAATAGGAGGTGCAATATCATTATTTTGTGTCCTTGGCCAAAGCAACTCTCCATTCATTGGCTGAAGATGGTGTGAATAAATGATTTTGTAAACCTCCTTTGAGTAGCAATGATCAATATAATTTTCAGGCTCCCCACCCATGTCAAAGATAACACAGATAGCATGTTGACATGGGATGCCACTCAAGTCCCATGCTCTACATGAGCACATTCTTTGATGTAGCCTAACCTTGTATTGATGTCTCCCTCGTTTGACCTCATAGCCATCATCACCGTTAAAAACAACTTGGTAGACATATATAAGACACAATTTTAACATAAGAAACATAATAAACCCATCAGTCAGACTAAAGACAACATCTTACAGACTCACCTTCCATCCCATACTTGCAGTGATATTGGCATGTAGTTTCTTCATGATACGAGGCCCGTGGTTACCAACCCAGTTTGCTCCAAACTTCACCTTGCGTGCAATCCTCTTCATGGTTGCTACTCTTATGGCTTCTAGCATGGGGATTATAGGTTTTGAGCGTGCTTTCACAATAGTGTTATTAAACGATTCTGACAGATTATTGTCGAGAATATCACACTTTACATCCGTTCGGAAGAATGCCTTGCACCATTGACGGGGATCGTACACTTCTAGATCAACTTTCGCTGCATCATTCACCTTTCCAAGAGCATTCATTTGGTCATGAAATTCTGCTTCCGTGGTGCACCTTGCACATATCCAGAAATGCTTTTTCAATACCTTGCCTCTGTGCTTCTTACTCCAATTAGCATGAATATGTCTGCAACAGTTTCTCTGCTCAGAGTTAGGAAACAACTCCTCGATCACATTCACTAAAATTGAAACATAATTACATATTAACTAAATATATAACAATTACTAAATTCTAATAACATAAAGCAACCTACCTTTTGTTGATCACTCATCAAAGTCCAATGATAAGTGTTGTTGATGTCAAGGTCATGCTTAATTAAATCTAGAAACCATCTCCAAGAGTCTGTATTCTCTATCTCTACCACAGCCCAAGCTATGGGGTACATTTCATTATTTGCGTCCCTACCAATTGCACTCAACAGTTCCCCTTTAAGCCTGCCCTTTAAGAAACATCCATCAAGCCCAATTACCCTACGACATCCTGCTAAAAACCCTCTTTTCAGTGCCCCAAAGCATACATACATTCTTTGAAATACTTCTGGACTGTCTTCACTCACCCTCTGTATCTTTACTATCACAGTGCTCCCAGGGTTTGACCTAACACACTCATGAGCATAGTCTCTCTTTTAAATTGCTCCCCAAATGATGCATTCACTTTTTTCAACACATTTTTTATCACCCTCTTCACCTTGGAAATGTTGATATTTAGCTTTAACTCATCACGGATTACTTTTTGTAGCTCAACGTTTCCAATGGAAGGATTTTCTGAGATTTTATTCTCATATTTTTCTTCCGGCCAGGTCTGACTTACTATCTTGAGTTTGAATTTCTTATTGCATCTATGCTTACCAACCCAAGTCTTCAATTGGAAGCATTTGTATTGATTTGACCATGAGGCATAGCACTTAAAAGGACATTTACCTACACATGTTGCTTGAACTCTTTGAGGCTCATTCTTTATCCATCCGATATCTCTTTTCTTATGCACTGCGTAGCTAATCAACGCACTCTTAAACTGTCTAGCATCATCAAACAACATCTCTACCTCCAAACGCTTTGATTCAGACTGTGGATTATAAGAGGGACATTTCATATTCTTCTTTCTTTTAGAGTGAACATCAGAAGCTTCACCCTCTTCTTCAGAGTCTGACCCACCACTTGGGGGATCTTCTAAGTCATAATACAGACTGCATTCTTCGGAATCCTCAATCTCACTCTGAAAATCAAGGCCATTTGCGTTCTTCTTTACCCAAGCTAGTTCACCATCCCTTACATCTTCATCGATGTCATCATTTAACTCATCTTCATCCTCACTACAAGTCTGCTTATCCCCCGATGCTAAGGACTCTTGACTTTCTTCTTCACGCTCTGGAATGTCTCTATTCAAATGTGGCTCTATATGATGACTATGTGGGGCATCAATGTGCATTTCAGCTTGTGGTTCAACCCCATTTGGTGGCTCTTTTTCCACCTGCAGTTCTGTTTGCACTTCTGTTGTTGATGTCAGGGGTAATAAAGGGATGAAATCAGGCTCATCAATTCCATGCTCAACATATACATCAACTGTGCCCCACTTCATTACCATCTCTATCAGCTCCATGGTTGATGCATCATTCCATAATGGTTTTAACATTTTGAAATTGTCCTCAGGTGATTTAAAAGACAAGGACTCAACCTTCTTATAAGTATCCTCTGTGATGGACTTCATGAGGTGAGGGTATGAAATTAAATCTGGGTCGAGTCGTACAATACCAACCTCACCACCCACATATGCAAGTTCGGGTACTTTTCTGAAAATTCCACCATGGTGTATTCTTAATTCTGCGGTCTCAAACATTCTGGAAAAAAACATAAAATATTACCTCTAATTAAACCAGTATATATATATATATATATATATATATATATATATATAATTAGTTCTCCATTCAAGTAACACAAATCAACAATTAAGAGAATTATGCGTAATTAACTCATGCTCTTCACATAAAAGAAAATAAATTTTGTGTTTCAACTTCCGTGAATTATAAACTAAAACACCTAGTTGTGTGGTCAATTTATGGTCTCTCAGTACATGAGCTCAACATGGTTTAGCTTGAAGGAACCCTCAGGATGGTCAGATGAACTCAATAGGTTTAACAAACTAAGTATACGAGATAAAATATCGGAACTTACTTAGTTTTTGGCAGTCCAAATCACTAAATCGTTAGCCGTGTCTCCTTGAATCCCTTAGGTATGTTGAAATCCGATTCTGATGACGACCAGCCTCTGATGTATGTCTAAACCCTAGCTAGATGGTGAGTTATATATCCTCACCATTCCCTTCTTCACAGCCATGTAGGATTTCGTCGGAAACGAATTTGTTTGTCAAACAAACCTAGCCAGAAAACACAGAGCTATTGAAATGGGATATTACGTGGATAAAAATTCTGGTTTCGGCAACAACGACCTCCACGTAGGCAGACACCAGCTAGTTTAAGTCAGGGTTCGGTCATTTGCACTTATATGACCGTATTTTAATAGTACGGGTGGCATGCTGACACTTTATTTAGTAGGCGGGTCTAAGTGATGTTTTCAGAATAGTAGAGGGGCTTATTTGACCCTTTTCTCATAAATACTTCATAGGTCGTATATTGCGAGTACTTATTCTAACTAAGGTGCAATTTCATAAATAGAAGTAAATAAAAGGAAAACAAAAGTAGGAGCATAAAGTTTAAATTCAGGCAATAAGGTGTCATGTTTAATATGATTTTTCAATAATAATAATAATAAAACATAAAAAGAGAAAATAAAAATGTAAATGTATATACACACATACACATAAGCCTCCACCACCAGTGGTCGCCGGGAAAATGACACCTTATAAAAAATGTCATTGTGATTATAGTTTTTTAAAAGCAAAGTTGAATATTTCCAAAGGGTGAAAAGGTCATCTTCATAACATTTTCCGAAAAATGTGACATCTTTACATAAAATGGCACTTTTCCAGCGATCAGAGGTGGCACTACAAGGTGGTGGAACTGTGGAAGATGCAATGGCGGAGGCCTACATATATATTTTTTAATCTTTTTAGATTATTTATTTATATTTTTTAGTTTATTTATTTATTCCTACTTTTATGTTCTGGTTATTTTTATTTTATTTTACTTTTCTACATTTTTATTAAAAATTTATAAATACTTTCGTGATTTTCATGTTTTTATTATAACCAACCTATTACTTTGTTATTGATACACTAAGTCTTACTGTAGATTATAAGAAGGGGTAGAAAGGAAAGTGGAATATATATTACTCTTATTTTGGAAATAAAAAGAGTATAGTTTTATTTTTGCATTTCGGAGTAATTTTACTCATAATAAAGGCTAATAGCCTAATAGCCGTACAATTATTCAACTACAACAACATGCGAAAGAACATAAACTATTATGTTTAGGTAGGATGGGTGTTTTGGCAGGGTTTGGGGGATGGGGGTGGAATAAATAAGATAAACAATTAAAAAAATTAAAAGAATCGGCCCGGCCCGATACCGGTAGACTCCCGGGCCGGTGCCAGGCTTCACCAAGAAAATCCAAGCCCGCCCAGCACCCGGGCCCGACCCAGAACCGGGCCCGATCCATCCCTACTCTTTCCATTAGAGTGAAATCAAGCCCAACTTACACTCCCTGATCATATGTGCGTGTATGCAAGTATTTGTTGCATGTATTTGTGTATGCCAAAACTTAGTTTCCAAAAGTAGACTAAGAATATGAAACCAATTATTATACACATTATTATACTCAAACCTCAAACACAACTTTTGCTTTTTCAATCACTTCATTAATAATTATGCTAAATCAAACCAAAACAATAAAAAGAATATAAAAAGAATATAGTGAAAAACGTTAAACGTTTCAGCTACACGGTTGCCAAAAAAAAATTGCCACATGCGAATACACGTGAGCAGACTAACCGGCCAACTGGCTGCTAAAATACTAACACAGTAACACCCAGTTTATGTGTTTGAGGGTTTAGTCGAATGTTTTTATAGTACGAGGGCCAAATTACCATTTTGGTTATAGTAGTAGGGCTTTTGGTTATAGTAGGAGGGCTTATTTGACAATTTTCCCTACGTAATACTCTGTACAATACATACATACCCATTTAATAGGAGACAATACATGGTGAAACCGTGAAACCTGCAATATAACTCTAGTATTACAAATCACAACAGTTGGGATATTTACACTTGTGGACAGAAGAAAACACCAGCTGAAGCCTGAAACATCTATGTACAACATCTGAAGATATTTTAAAACATACGCAACTCCCAGCAGATGCATGTAGCTTTATTACCTCCTTGAAGAAAATCCCTTCCATATTAACATCTGCAACATGAAAATCTGGTTATCTGTGTAATTGAAAATCGTGCTCTAACAGGTGCATATTTACCTTTGAAATGGAATGAGTTTGAGGGACAATATGTTACCTAGGATAACAAAGAAGAATAGAAGATACAACATTAAATTCATTTCTTATACATTTTGGACTTTCTCTAGCACCCCCAAGGCCTCAAGAATGCTATCAACCCACCTGGAAATTGATAGAGTATATAAGGGAATATTTAAAACAAAACGTTATTAAAGTATTTAATTCTTGTTTAAATATTTTAGTTTGTCTACTATTTTTACATTTGTATTTAATATTTTGATTTTTAATCTTTTTACATTTTTATTCATAGATTTTGACATTTTTTCACAATCTTTTTACATTTCAGTTTTTACAATTTTTCTGCTCAAATGCAGGGAATTGGGAAAGCTCTCAACGGTCCAAATGCAGTTTTAGTTAATTCTAATTCAAATTAATTATTAATAATTCAGATTTTTTAAAAGAAGGATACACCGATTACACCCTCTGTCAAAAAAGAAGAAAAATGTTTCAAATAAAAGAGCCCAGAATTATGGGTCAACTTTCAATTATAAGTAAGATTCCTGCAATGCCCAGAAGCAATCCATAACTTATTGCACTGACTAAAAAAAATGGTATCATACTCGAACATGGTTTTTTTCTTTGTTTGGGGACAGAGAGTTATATCACGATATCAGTGACAGAGGTTAGAAACAAAAGATTACCCATCAACACCAGGATTTTTTGGATAGTAGACATTTCTTAGTCCAAGTCTTTTAGCTGCCAAGGCAGTTGTTTCACCTATGCATGCTACAGCATTTCCCCACTCTTCCATTGATGGAATGATATTTGACCATGCACTGTTGATTTGTGGCAAAACAAGATAAAATTCAGTGCAATAAATAAATACATGTGACATGTCACTTGAGCTATTCATTCATGAATAAAAATACGGAGTAGAAAACAAGAACAATGAAGAGAAGAAATCTTCTTGCTACGGCCAATAAAACGAGCACAGAAGATACATGTGAATCTGAAAGACTGTTCTGCTTATATTACGGAGTATTATGGAAATAAAATTGCGGTGACTTACTAAATGGCAGAAGGTGAGGCTACAGCAACTACAGGGGCACACAGGGCTGCTTTAAGAAGGTCGTTATCAAAGTGTTGTACTGGTTCCTGAATGGAAAACAAAGAAAGTTCAGTAGGATAGACGTCAGGATTACCTTATTATCTCCTTTTCCCTAAGCACCTTAGCATCAACACAATAAAATTTGGAGGAGTTAAATGTACAAAAAATAAATAAAAAATTTCTTCGAAAGCACTAAACAATAACAAACATGAGAAAAAACAGCTGAATACCGTATTGTATGTATTCATCCTTGTAACCTCAAATCCACGCTTTGAAAGGCCTTCTTCTGCAAAAAAAAAAATTATAAATAATGCTGATATCAAAACTAATTTCAATTTTTTATCTAACATGATCAGAAGCTCATTTCTATTTCCTATTCTTTATTATTAGTAAGAAAAAATTTGACAAAATGCAATCCTGCTCTCTAGCATTCATGTCCTCCCTTTCTATTATATGATTTATATGAGTCAAAGATGCACAGGATAGTAGCAAATGACACAGACAAAAAAAACAACGTAGTGAAACTACTAATAAGGTACGTAGTAATATGTTACATACCAATCTCACCACTGGCTTTTGCTGAAGCAGGATAAAGAACAGCACATCTTTCTTTTTCTTGCTTAGGAAGTTCTGCAGCTAAGACCCTACCAGTTGCTGCCAAAATTAAGGGGAAAATGCAATTTTCAGTGACAATAAGCAATTTAAATTATCAGAGCAACGGTCTGCGTGTTCTTTAATTTTCAATGCTACAGGCTAATTTCACAGTATTTTCTTGATGGGACCAAGGCTTCAAGAGGGAAAAAAATGCATATCCATACCTTGGGATGGAGCAAAAGCAACATTAAGATACTGCTTTGATGACCGAGTAACTTTATCAAATATGCTAGCTGTACCCACCCCAATGACAGCAACTCTGACATTTGGTGTTCCAGCAACCCTATTTGAAAATTTAGTGCAAATCCTTCAGTGGATCTCCCGATAGAGGACTTTCATGTCATATAAAAATATTTAGGGGGAAACACACAGACAGCAGGATGAAAAATGGAAACTGTTTGAAAGTCAGACCCCCCCCCCCCCCTCTCCAATTATGAAGTTTTATATGACAATTGACAATATCTAAGAAAAAATCCCTTTTAAGCTATAGGTATATTGCATTACTTAAATTCATAAAACAAGAAGCCCAGGTCTACAGAATTTCACCCTCAAAACCATTTGTGATCACAGCACTATTTGAAAAGAATTAAGAAAAAGGATAAATACTCAATAAAATGTTTTCAGCCAGTGATTCAGAATAATACAGCATTATGATTTATGATGAAACCTTGAAACCAAGCATTAAATTCTATCAAGGACTTGGGCCTTACTTCCAAGCATCCAGGAAAACTAGACCCGCCTCTGGTGAAGTGATGACAATCCAGTCAAAGTTGTTTTCTGCACACGAAATATGAGAAAAGCAGCCATGATTGAGCCTACTCAAGAAGGAAAAGAATAGTCTCTAGATGAACTTAGGTTATATAAGACAAGGGAGGAATCTAATACATGACCAGGGGCGGATCTACCTTATGTCCAGGGAGGGCCTAGGCCCATGCTCAAAAAAAAATTGTATATATATACTAGGTAGTAATAATATGTATAATGTTGTGTAAAAATGGTATAATAACTATCGAAGTCGATTTCTTACCAAAAAGCAGGACGGCTTGATGGATTTTGAAGCAATGTTTGCAGCGCTTCTATTTGGAAGACCTGAGTTCGAATCCTGCTTAGAGCAGAATTTTCTAATTTTTGCAATGAGAGCATTCTGTTTTAAAATTTTAGTTTTTTTCCCCTTATATTTTTTTATCCCACACCGGAAGAGGAGCAGATTCTTCCTTCATAGACATCTATTTAAACTTGATCTCCTAGGATCAATTAATACAAACTTAAAATCATTAAATGGGTTTGATACTAATATTGGGCATGCTTTGGTCTTTTGAATATTAGCCTAAATAATTAGATCATTTGGCTTGAAAAGTGAATATTAGTTCAATGTTTATGAGCTAGAGGTGTTTTATGTATTTGATTTTGACAAAAAATCTTATTCTGGTAAATA